AAAAAATAATTTAGAAAAAAAGATTGTGGTACTTACACATAAGGAAATATTATTCTGTGATAAACAAGGATAAATTCAAGTTATCTGTAGGAAAATCCTTATGCCTTAAGACAACATGTTAAATAAAATCAATCAGACACCCAAGCTTAAATATTGCCTGTTTCTCTTATATGAGAAACTCAAAATATACATAGACTTAGGGGCAAAATTAAAGACAGATAATAGGAAACCCAGAGATAGACATTCTGCAAATAAGAAAGGAGAGCTGTAAAAATAATTAATATTTAAAAATAACAGTAAATGATGTGTTAACTCTTGTTATTTTCTTATTATAGTGTTACAAAATTTTGTTTTATTTGCTTCTTATATCAAAATGTATTATGTACATGTACCAACTCTGCAAGATGAATGTAATCAGCATGTACTATAACAGTGAATTAATAAAAATTAAAATTTTTTAAAGAGAAAAAAGATGTACTCAAGGCTTTTATAGGAAAGTAGATGTAATAAGACACCACACTGGTAAATGAAATAAATCAAACCCACAGGTTAAGTTACCATTATATTATTTCCTTATTGTAAGAACCTGAAAGAGTGAATAAATCTGAAAGGGAAAGGTTCAATAGATACTATTCAAGGTAAAAGAAAAAACTGTTCAAAGAGAAAGAACAATTGAGATAAGTGATAGATAGGAAAAGAGAGAGAGAGAGAGAGAGAGAGAGAGAGAGAGAGAGAGAATGCTTTCTGTCTACCTTCTCCTCCAGTATATTTAGTGTTTCTCTTTTAATATTTACATGTGTGATACATTTTGACCTTAGTTTAGTGTATGATACTAGAATGGGTCTAATTTTAGACCCATATCATATATGTATGATGGTTTGAATCATTGCACTGCTAATTTTTACTGGTATATTGAAAGGAACAGCTAGTGTTAAATGTTTCTTCTCTTCTTTTTAAATTTTTGACCAATTTTGCATGCTTCTTTCTGCTAATCTGAGCAGCTAATCTGAAGACGTCAATCTGCAATATAACAACCCTTGTTGAATTCCTGTCATTTTGTTTAGTGAAATTCTGTATTGTTCATATTTTTTGCCAATTTTTATTCTTTAATTTTTTAAAAAATAACACAAATAATAATTTGATTACCAAAATTGTTATATATAAAGAAAGGGGGTTCCTTTCAATCATAAGAGACCAGATTATTTTCCAAATTACTTGAAGCTCTAAGCATTACATTAACAACATGTGGCGATACTGTTATGGAGCAACGGATTAAGTTTAAGTAAATGTGACTGGCTTTACATGGTGTCAGTTGAGAAGATTGGTTGTAGTACTCACAGAAGTGTGTCATTCTCTCTAGCACATATCTGCTATCAGTAGGAGCCTCAAATATAGCCAGACGGCTAAAGCAGAAGAATCCAGAGAGCAGTCTACGTCAGGCTTCGCTGCTGTGTGTATCTTTGGATAAGATCCAGTGTGTTGCCTCAGAGGCATGCAGCGTCTGAGAAATGCCCACACACATGATCCCTGCCCTCTACTGTGCCACGCTCCTGCACACACCCCCACACAGCCCAAAGCGTTACCAGGCATGGGTGCAGTTTTATCAGCAGCAAGGGAAGAATAGTGTCCTTACTATTCCATAAGCTAAGATATTTCATTGCTTCCCAAGTGAATATGCAGAACAGAAGTTAATTTGCTTTTATTTTGTTCTTATTGGCCTAAAGGCACATTTGATCAGAGAATAAAACTTGATAAACATTAATGATTACTCATCATTAAAGATTTGAAGACAACAGCCTAAATGTAAGTATCATGCAGATATACTATAAAATGCATACAAAATCCTGTTAACTTTTTTTAGATTATTTTCTTTTTTTTTTAACATTGTAGGAAACACCACATTGATTCTTCACATCAATTTATTTTTGAAAAGCTACTTATACATGAACTCCAGCAATCCAAGAAATGCATAAAAACCTAGTTTTCCAGCTGGGGCTTGTCTGTTGACTTGATGCAAGGACCGTTTATCATTGTTTCAAACAGGATGATCTGAGGGAAAGAGAAGATGGACAATAAGAATGGGTAAGCCTCCTTAATACAGGATCAATACGACACTGTGATATGTATTCTGAGCACAAAGATAACATGAAGGTTTATGAGCCCTCAAGGTACAGGCTGGCTGACTGACCTCATTCCCTCCAGGACGGAGCCAGACACCAGGAAGGTAGAGTGTCTGCTGAGGCCCAATCATCCAGTACCGCCCGAGGTTGCGTCCATTGACAAACACCAGCCCTTTACCCCAGCTCTGCAAAGCAAGGGGCTGAGCTGTGGGAGCAGACCTCCCCTGGCAAGGGGACCAAGAGCTCTTGGGGATTAAGAGCAATGGCGCGGAGCACAGATATGCTTTGGGAAGGGACTGTGCTAGAGCCTCCACACTGCATCTAGGAACAAGAAGGGAAACACCTGGAAAACCTCTTCCTCACCATGAATCTACAGCTGTCCCTGTCCTATGGTGTGCATATAATTTTTAAACCAGACTTCCTGTTTCCAAAAATCAGTACTAAGTTAAGGAAATGAAGACTGCTTCTGAAAACAGCTATTAAAGCTGTACAATGCTTTAACCTGCTTGTGATACAGCAAAGAAATTCAAGACAAAAAGCTAGAAGGAAACATAGATATCCTGGTAGGCCATAGATAGGCCTCTTCCTACCCAAGGAGAGCTGCTAAGGTGTGCAACCTCTTCACACATGCTCAAGGACAAGGATACAAAGATGGGACACCAGGAAATTTTGTTCCATGTTCTCTCTGCACAGCGCACCACTCCTTACTGCAAGGCTGAAGTGCAAGTCTCTTCTATCCTTGCATCTGGGAGAGCGTGCTTGTTAGCGCCCTGGCCATCTCCACAGATGGGGGCTATCACGGAGAGCATCATGTGTGAATCTGATACTCATTTGAAAAATAAGCAAGTTATAAAGGAAAGGTCAATATAACACCAAAAAAAAAAAAAAAAACCACCTAGGATATAAACAAATGATACAAATAGATGCACAAGTGACTCAGATACTAAATTTGTAAAACACAGGCTTTAAAATAACCTTCCACAATAGGTGATATGTTTAAAAAATATTTTGCAAATTTTGATGTAAAACTAGAAATATTTCAATAACTATAAAATATAAAAATTAAAATTAATATGTAATGGTGTTTAGGGGAACAGATTATATAGCTACTAGAGAATTACTTAAATAATATGAAATAATTTTTAAAATCCAAGATGATAGGGCTGGTGAGATGGCTCAGTGGTCTAAAGCACCTACTTGGAACAAGCTTAGCAAAGCATAGGGACCACGGTTCAATCCCCAGCACCACATGCCAGCCAGCCCCGCCCCCTGGTGGGCTGAGCTGGCCACACACACACACACACACACACAAATAAAAATTTAAAAAAAAGAAAAAGAAAATTTAAAATCCAAGATGGCAGGAATAAAAAATGAGAAACATAGAAGGAGGAAGAGAAACATAGATATACCAAAATAGCTTAATATATAAAATTAGAGTCTTTAAACTGCTGTAGGTTCGAAGAGATTGCTCAGCAGTCTAAGTACCTGCCTGACAAGGCCCAGGACCCAAGTTCGATCCCTGGCACCACATGCTGTGCTGGCCCTGCCCTTGGCATGCCATGCAGGCCATGGAAACTGGGGTGTGGTGTGCACGCCTATAATCCCAGCACTGGAGAGGCTGAGGCACGAGGATCACTATGCATCTGAGCTGCACAGTGAGACACTGTACCAAGTAAGTAAATAAAAGATTAAATGCATAAATAAATTGCTCTAAATAAAAATACAAAAATGTGCTGGACTGGATTTTATATAAAGTTCTTTGCGTGGTATGCATAAGAGAATCATCAAATCATAAGGGCCTTGATAACAGTAAAGGAAAACCTATGTTAGAAGATAAACATACATTAAAAGGAAGTTGCTGTAGCTGAGGAATTATCAGAATAGTGAGTCTTCAAGGCAAGAAGTAGTGTCAGAGGCTGTCATTGTTACTTTCCTCATTGCTGAGACAAACTATCTGGCACCCAAATTAAAACAGGAAAAGCTTCTTTTGACTCCAGTTTGTAGGAGTTTTGATCCCTAGTAGGCTGGCTCCAACACAGGCATGGCAGAGGGGCAGAGCAGAGAAGAAAGAGTCCATGCCAGGCAGAAGGCACCACGCAGCCAGGGACCGGCAACAAGCCTCAGCCCTCTTTCTGTCCCTTGTGTCCTCAGGTCTACCCCAAGACAAGCACCACCCTCACCGGGATGAGCGGTCTTAGTCCAAGCATCACGCCATGGAGCACTCCCGGCACCCAGCCTCGGTCCCAGGCTCACACACCCTAGGGCTGGCCACCGCTGAAAGCTCCACATAGGGCTGCATGAGGCTTTGGGGGCGCATGTAAATACAGGCCCCAGTGGAGCTGCACAGGGGCATCTCATTGTTATAAAGTGGCTAATTTACCACAGATTTATAAGTGTCACATGGGAAAGTTAGAAGTACATATTTAATATAAATAATATAGGCAGAATGAAAAATTAAAAACTATGAAAACACTTCAGATAACCCTTCAGTAACTGACAGAAAAAAAATAAATATATAAAGCATTTTAAACAACATGACTAACAAATTAAGCTCATTAACATGTATGGAACACTGATATAACATCTAGGAATTGCATATGTCTTTTCATGTGTTCATCAGAATACTTACAAATTTCATTCCATGTTGAGCTAAACAGTTTCTACATACTTTAACAAAGACAAGTATTTGGAATTTAAGAGCCAGCAAGATAGCTTAGTGGTCCAAAGCACCTGCTTAGGCAAGCTTAGGCAGGTGCAGGGGACTGAGGTTCGATCCCAGGTACCACATGCTGTGCCAGCCCTGCCCTCAGAGTGGGCTGAGCTGGCCAAAAAAACGCTACATATTAGCCTGGGCATGGTGGCACGCGCCTGTAATCCCAGCTCTTGGGAGGCTGTAAACAGTGGATCACTATGAGTCCAATCTAGTAGTGAGACCCTCAACACCCTGTAGACCCTTCCTGAAAATACAAAAACAAAAAAAAGGAATTTAAGAAACATACTTCTAAACGGGGGCCATGGCCCACACTTACAAACTAAGCACTAGGGAGGATGAGGCAGGAGGATCATCACAAGTTCAAAGCCAACCTGATCTACATAGCAAAATCTTGTCTCAAAAGAAACAGAAAACATTAAAAAATGACTTCTTGATAATTCAGAAGCAACAGAAAATAATCACACGGGAAGTTACAAAGTACTTTGCATGATTGATGAAAATAAAATATATGAAAACTTAAGGGGTATAAAATTATTACCAAATTTTCTTTTTTTATTTTTTAACTGTATGAAAATTTATGGGATAATAAAAATGGGGACTAGGACAGCTCCTGAGAGACACAAGGGGTCCCAAGTGGGTTGTCTTATTAACAGATGTTCAGCAAACACCTTGCGGCCACAAGGGAGTAACTCGATATATTTAAAATTCTGAAAGACACAGCTTGTCAGCTGAGAAAACTGTGTCCAGAAAGACTATCTTTCAAAAAGGTAAAGAATTTCTTCCCAAACGAGTACAGTTTCTGCCATCCAGGCCTGCTTTATAAGAGCTGTGAACGCAAGCTGAGACCTCAGGGCACCGTATCAGCGGAGCCCTTCTACCCTAAAATTGGCAGAAGCAGCTGATCAGTAAGAGATAAAAACACCAGTGCTGGGATACAAAAGCAAGGTAAAGCGATACCTCCATCAGAAAACAATAGCGACTATCTGAAAAAGAATTTACAATAGCGATGTTTATAAAATTCAAAGAGATAAAACATAAATAGTGTAAGAAATACCAAGATGCTGCCTAAAAGAAACTCACAGGCCAGGGAGGTCCTGGCAAGTGCAAGGGCCTGAGTTCAATCCCCTGTTCTGACAAAGAAGGAAGGAAGGAAGAAAGGAAGGAAGGGAGGGAGGGAGGGAGGGAGGAAGGAAGGGAGGAAGGGAGGGAGGAAAAAAGAAAGAGAGAAAAAAGAAAAACTCACTTCACAGAAAGGAAGGCACACAGAATGAAAGAAAAAAGGGAAATCCATGTTTCTTATAAAAGGAAACTAAAAGCTATCAGCACTAGTTGCATATAATTGGATAAAATACACAGTATTTCGTTAAATGCTGTAAAAAGAAAAGCAAGGCAATTACATAATGATAAAGAGATTAACCCATCAAGAGGTAATACAATTATCAATATATGTGTTTATAATACAGTTATAAACACCCAATGCCAGAGGGCTCACAAATAAAGCAGGCAGAGCTGAGAGGAGAGGTGCACTCCAGCACGACAGTACCTGAGGCTTTCAAGGCCCCTTTATCATCAATGACCAAATCATTCACACACACACACACACACACACACACACACACACATCATTAAACAGAGATCAACTGTAATGTAGAACAAATACGCACACAGAACTGTTCACCCAAGCGCTGCAGGCGCATGCTTCTCTTCATCATATGGCGTTTTCCCACAACGGCATCCATCAAGCCACAGAACAATCGCAGGAAGTGCAGGAACCCTGAAACCGTACCATGTGTGTTCTCTGACCACAGCGGAATGAAGAGCTTAGCAACTGTTCAGACGCGTGGCGATAAGGCGACCCACACATGAAAGGTGACTGGATCAAGGAAGTTAAGCAAAGGGAAACTCTTCCAATTGTCATAAAATGAGTGAAGATGAAAGCATCGCAGCAACACCTGGAGCAGAGAGGCGCAAAGGGAGAGCTCCACAGCAACGAACGCCCGGATCAAAAGGTGCACGATTTCAGCAGACAGCCAAGCAATGCCTTGATCTAGAAAAACATAAATGCACTAGAGGGAAAGAAATAGCAAAGATCAGCAGAGTAAAAAAATGTAGATTAAAAAGAGAAATACAAATACTCAATGGAAATGCTATAAAAGGCAAACACAATTTACAAAACTTTACTGAGGTAACCACGAAAAACAGCCAAAAAACACAAATGAAATATTAAATAAGAGACCTAACAAGAAAAATAAGATAGATCTTTGGAGGCTATTATGAATAACCGCAAGCAACAAATTGAAAACGTGAAAGAAAAAGATCAATTTCTGGACACAGAATGTACCGAATTTGAATCAGGAATACATTAAAAACTTGAACAATCCAGCAATGATTAATGAAATTTAACCTGCAATTAACGTCTCCAAACACACACACACACACACACACACAAAATGTAGCTCCAGATAGATGGCTTCACTGCTGAATCTTACCCAAGCTTTTAAGAACGACTAATATCAACACTTCTCAAACTATTCGAAACATTCAAAGACAAGGAACACTTTTAAACATGTCCACCCACAGTAGAGTAGTCCAATACATTAGCAAAGGGTGTTTATGTGATATTGAAAATGAATAAATCTGTGAAACATCAATAATCGGTTGCACCTCAGAGAGGTGATCTCAGAGAGCAGGGACCACAGCCCCGTGGTAGAGTCACTGCTGAGGGGACAGGCCCTGGGTTTAATTTCCACTTCCACATCAAAAAGAAACAGACTGTCTATTGGATGGCTCCATGCAACTGAATTCAATGGAGGAAACATTATAGGAAACATAATATAGTTGTTCACCCTTGAGGAGGAGCCTCAGAAAGCCTTCTGCAATCCCAGTAATAACGTAAATTAGCGCAGCCACTACAGAAATCAGAACGGAGGTCCCTTATAAAACTAAAGAGAACTGTTACCTGCGACGGCCGGGATCAATCCTGGTGTGCCGTGCGGCCCCACCCCCAGGGCGCGCTGAGACAGCAATTGAGACTCGGCGTGGGGGCACGCGCTGTAATTCCAGCGCTTAGGAGGCTGAAAACAGGAGAATCACTGCGAGCCCGATCCACGTAGTGAGATCCTGTAGACCCTATAAACCCTGTACTAAGTACATAAAGAAGAGAACTGCCCTAGGACCCAGATATATAACTCTGCGATATATTCCCGAAGGAATGGAAGCCAGCATTCTAGAGGGATACCTGCACGGGCACGATTTCTGTGGCACAATGCACAATATCCAAGACATGAAATGAGCCTGGTTTCCCATGAATGGCTGAAAGAAGGAATGACATATCGCATAAATGTGTGGCGGAATACTATTCAGCCACAAAGAAGAACAAAATTGTGTCATTTGCCAGGCAAAGGGAAGGAACTGGAGAGAACGTTGAGTAAAATAAGCCAGACCCAAAAGGGCAGCTTTGCACGTTTTCCATCATATATAAAAGAAAAATAGCATGAGAGTGAAGAAAGCCTATTGTCAGCCAAGATTAAGGGACGCGGGCTGGAGGGCAGGCTACAGGGCGGAATGAGCAGGGTGATGTAAGGATCGTATGTGCGGATGTAAAATTATGACATTCAAAACCAAAATTCAGTACGTTAACAGTGACAAAAGATATATATTTACAAAAGAAAAGCCATCCCTAATTTCGGCTGGTAATAGCAACAGACTCTTTTTCACAATTATAATTAAAAGGTGCTCATTTGTAATAATATCTGGTGTAGACAATCATACCTGTGCTCACAGATAAAAGGGTATACAAGATAAAATTAACCTGTGAGCCTGAAATAAAGACAAAGTGCAGAATGTAATTTATGCTGTAAAAATTTTATGTGCACGTGCGTGTTTAGGAAATTAAATATAAAACAAACTTTTTGTTCTATTAAGCTCTGAAATGTACAAATGAATTAGAATAAAGTTGGGTTTAAGGAAAGACTTTCGCTACTGCTATCTACGTTTTACAAGTGTTTGAATCTCTGGCAGCTCTAAAAGGTAAGAAAGCGTGACTGGAAGTATGAAAGAAGAGGAAAGAAAGGCAAGTGTTCCAGAACTATTGTGCCTAAAAATAAAAATATAAACACTGTGTTTTGCGTGTGGGCTTTTTTTTTTTTTTTTTTCTTCAAACATGCACCAAAGCAGCTGGAGGCTTACTTACTGGCAGGCTGAGGAAGGTGTCCCTGGGAGAAGAGCCAGCCCTCAAGGTGCCCAGGTAGAAGGCAGGTCCTGCATACGTCTCTGCGGCAGGCCTCCAGGTGGCAGCGCGGAGTCTGGGAGGAGGGCAGATGGGAGAGAGCAGACACCCTTTCTGACTCTAGTCTCAGTATTCACCAGCTTTGTGTCCCAGGAACCAGGATTTTGTGGCAGTGAGACATTTGATACTAAGGATATTAAAGTGGGAATCAGATGTTCTGACTTCTAGCCCTAACTCACAGGACCCAATAACCCAAGAAAAATCCCTACAAGTTCTCTGAATCTTGGGCTTTTCCTACGCAGAGTGAAGAATCTGACATCTCTCATTTCCCTGATGCTGGGCTTGGGATGTAGTTTCAGTCTGTGCCTCAAAGGATTGTGGCAGGCAAGCTTGGGTCCTAGCACACTGGCGCTGAGACGGTAAAACTGTTAAGAGGTGAAAAGTGGTGGGAGAGGACTAGACCACAGCGTTAATCACTCTCACAAGGGACTCACTCTGTTCTTCAAAGATGATCAGCAATCCTGGGAGGAGGACGTTACCCCAAGGCCACCCCACATGCTTGTCCTTTTGGGCCGGTCTCCACTGAATGCCATTGATGCCACTCTCTATGAGGCCCTCATCAGAGCAGAGCAGGTGCCAGCTCAGGTCCCTCAAATCAAGGACTGAGAGCTAAATATAACGATTTTATTCTCAAAACTCCTAGAACCATGTATTGCATTACAGCACCCTAAAATGAGCCAAGACTGCCCTCACACAGTGTCTGGGGGGCTAGGAGGCATGCACCTGTCAAAGAAGCTCATCTTCATCTCCAGAGAATAGATGTTGAAGCCTCTCAGGGGAACATCATTGATGCTGAGGGGACCCACTAATCCTGCAGATGGGAGGCAAGAAGGAGAGTAAGAGCGAGGTTTGGGCCTACTCAGGCGCCGGCTGGGAGATGCAGGCAGGCACGTGCCCCACAACGAGGCCGCAGAGCCGCTTCCTTCTTCTACATTTCCACACTAACCTAAAATGTTCTGTACTCCATCATACTTTTCCCTAAATTCCCAAGAAGAGACAGGCCCTTCTCAGAAGAAACAAGCACTGAACAAACCCAATATTCTTTTCTCCCCCTGAAGATGAGATATATCAGCCCAAGGGACAGGGAAGGAAGGGGATGGCATCTTTGGTTCTTGGTTCTTGATATCCCACTGCTGAGGAACTCTGCTGTAGTTCTCACAATAGCTGCAACTATGGATACTGAAAAACTGAAGAAAAAAATACTGCCAAACTCGCCCTCCTAGAGTTCATGTGAAGAATGTGCTGGAAAGCATCATGCACTCAGCCTGGCTGCATTTTCAAAGTGGAGCGGACCATGAAGGTGTTACCACTGACTTGCTGCCCGAAGGTAGGGTCTGGGTATGAGAGCGAGCTCACCTTGGTCCTAACCAGAAAGGGTGTGTCTGCTGCTCAGTGCCTCGCCTCTCTGTTCTACTTCCTGGTCACCAAGACATGAGCAGCTTTCCTGCACTGGTCCCTCTCCAGGTCATTTCTCCTTTGGAGGCAGCTGACTAGGAACTGAAGCCTCTACAAACTGGGAGCCAAAAGCAAACTCTCCTCCCTTAAGTTGGGGTTATAAGGTATTTGTTTTAGGAATGAGAAAGTAACTAAAAATTACCCAGATCTCACCTTTCTGCTCATATTGCATTTTCCATGAAAAATTGATTCGTCCTTCATTCTCCACCAGGATCCTAAGAAATCCACAGTCCTGCTGGGAACATACCAGTTCATGGGGTCTGCACGGCCAGATAAGGCTTGTACTCTGGAGCCCATTTTGCCTCCATGTCTCAGAAGGAAAGACAAGGAAATGGGGAAAATAGGCTCCCAGTGCTTGCCCAGTTGTGAGGATGTACAGGTCCTTGTCCACACCAGCCTGCCCTTTCTCCTCTACTGGTCCCAGTAAGGCAGTAATTCTAGTGCCTTATATAAGAAACCAAAACAGTGGCTCAACTCAGTAGTCAAGGCAGAAGAAGAAATTTCAGCTTAACACTGCAAGTTCCAAAATAAGCTGTGCTGCTAATCCTGAAGCACCAGGAATTAAGAGAAGCCTTATGATTACAGCCCTACACATTTCCTCTTGAAGCCTTATTTGAGGATCAATACCACAGGAATGGGAGAGAGAAAAGTAGTCTGTTCCAGAACCAGGCTTTATGGAAGGGGAGGTAAGGGACATCACCATGACCCGGCAATTACATACCCTGAATATAGGAATGTTCAGGGTCCATGAACCCTCAATGAGTGATCCTATATATGTCTCATTCAAAAACACCTGCGAAACAAAAGCCAGCATGACACTGGTAGGCCCATCAGAAAAGGGGGCAAGAAAGGCTCTGGTTTATGAAGTAAGAGGTCATTCTGATGGGAGAGACTAGTTCTGGAGCTCACGTATGGTTGGGTGCTGACTGCGTAGGCCTTATAAATTTTACGTGTTAAGGCAAAAGTTAGAATGATGACATTTGCTCTCATCTCCCCCAGCGACTTCCCAAGGAGGTGCTTCAAGTATCATCACACACTTGAGTACACCAACAACAACTAGACTCTGTCAGTGAGGATCAACATGTGGCTCACCACCAGAGACACCTGCTGTCCCTTACCTGTGTTATATCATAAACAATACCATAGAGCTGGCCTGCACGACAGATGACAGTCTCATAGAGGACAAATCCGAAAGATTGACCACTGCCATTGTTCACAGGAAGATTCTCCATATTGACTGGAATCTTCAACTTGATAGGCTATGAGGGAGACATACCTAAGTGAGAAGTCAGGATCTTTCTTCCTAAGACCCCTGTCACTGTTTGCTGGACTGCCTAATGGTCCCAAGGGTCCCTTCATGATAATCACAGGGCACACACTGAGTGGCAGAGCTCTTGTGCTTTGTGACAATTGCTATAGCCATAAGAATTGATCCGCAGGTTAGTAACTTGTGTTGCAAAATAATTAAAGGCATAAGATGATTGTGTACTAAGCAAACAACTATTAGGCACCTGTCATGTGCCAGAGATCATATTCCATCTAAATTAGTGATATGGAAATGAAAGTGATATGAATTCAAGAGTTTGATTTTAAGTGAGTTTCACCACACCTTCAGTGGAAGCATGTGGAATTTAGTAATTTGGCCTAACTGATGGAAGCCCAGTTTCATGGGCTACTAGGTCAGAGCTTCTCATTCAGGGTGCTGTAAGCTTCGAAGGGCGCCTCCGAAAGGCATCCCCCAGAAGAGTCCACCTGTGCCAGAAACAAGATCTCCTACCATCCTGCTCTTGCCTTCTCCCAGTCACTTATTCTTCAACTCCATACCTTTTCACCGGCTGCCCAAAAGAGCTCTAAGCTTGAGCAACACGCAGAGGATTCCTCTTCACATCTCCCAGGAGCGAGTGGCTTAAAGGAATCTCTGCCCATAACCTTCCACCTTCCCCTACGCCTCCCCAGGCCACCCCTGCATAGTGCCCAAGCAGAACCCACCTCACGCAAGTACTGTAGGACATCCCACAGTGGCAAGTAGAGTGACGGCCTTACAGAAGGGTACACAGTCTTGGGAATGAGTCCAGGCAAGCGAGGCAGTGGAACTGCTGCAGTGAAAATGGGTGCCAGGCAAGAAGAGCTCTGTAAAATCATTCTTTTTCTCTCACTTTTTTATTTTTTAATTTTTTTATGTATTTGTAACAGGGTCTCACTACACAGGTCAGACACTTAGTGATCCTCCCAAATCATTCCATTTTTCATATGTCCTACCCCTGTGCCTGACCGCTGAGCATGCCAGAACCAATAAGAGGAGTGAGTCTTATGCTAAGCCCTGGGGCAATTCTCCAGGGTTGCTGGGGATGGGCAGAAGGAGGAGTCACTCAGCATCTATGCATCTGTGGACACAGTTTCACAGAGAGGGGCTCTTGGGCAGCAGGAGCTCTGCTTCTGCCTCAGGGTGCTGGTGTGACCTCGCTTCTAACCCTGAGCACCCGGCTCACTGACATCATGAGGTAGAATTCAACAGTGAGTCTGTCGTTTGTGTGGGGGTCATGCATAGTACTAAGAACAAAGTCACACATTTAGAGCTTTACAAAAAAGAAACTACTTCATCTTCACTATTGCATAGGATACCTGTATTGATATCTTCTCATCGCAGTGAAGATGCCAAAGACTTAGAAACACCCAAAATTACCCAGGTTGAAGTGAGAAATCCATGAGCTGCACCCTCGGGGGCCATTACTTTCCAACGCATCCTTAAGCTGCTGCTCAGAGAAGAGAATGCTCCCTTTCCTCACTCCTTCTCAGAGCACAGATACGCATGAGGGCAAACATCCCTACTCCAGTGGGTACCCAGTACCTGAAACAGATCCAAAGAGCTTTCGAAGCTTGAAATACTTTTCTGTGTAGTCTCCGGCCTCTGTCAGCACAGCATCATAGTCTGAAAGATACCCAGGTCCTGTCACAGGCCGTGCAGCCCTCAAGGCAGGTACTGCTTCAGCACTGGGGCAGGATGAGCCAGCGTCACTCAGAGGGAGACTCCATGCAGACATCCCCTGCCTCGGAAGCGCTCCGCGGCTGCTGGGCTGTGAAGTGCGACTCCTCTGCTGGACACGTGGGGCTCACCCTGCCAGTGCACATGCATTGAAAGATGGCACTCTCATCTTTCCTCACCTGGGGCCCCCAGCTGTGCCTGACAGCTGTCACCCCTGTGTCCCATACCTGCTAGAGGCTCAAGTCATGGGGACCGTGGACAACAAGAGTAAGGAACAGCCCTGAGTCCTGGGCAGCCCCAGCTCCTGAGATGATGACCTGCTGGGGCATCATGAGCATCAGAGGTGGAAGAAAATGAATAGAAACCCCTCAGCGCTCAGCTTATGTGATCAATCTCATCGTAGTGAGTGAGTCTGATGCCTTCTGGGAACTATCAGCCCCACCCATGCTGTGGAGGGGACCACACCAGCCACACGTGCCATAGCTCGTCACAACACTTTTGTGCTTCTGCACAAAGATGGCTGCATTTGTAAACCCGAAGTTGGTTCCACCATGAAACATGTAGATGTTGAAGGAGATTCCATATTTGATAAATGTGGACACAGTGTTTTCAACCTCTGCAGAGAGGGAAGTAGAAACAACAGAGAGGTCAAAATTATAAGGAGGTAAAACCTTAGCATTTCCTGCCCACCCCACAATCAATTGCTTTGCCTTCTGATAACCATCAAGACTCTAATCAGAAACTGAGTGGAACTGACCAGATGTTTGCTAAGCGAGCATGTTCTGCCCAAATCAAGAGCCTTCTCTTAGAGAAAAATCCCCCCCAATACTGGTATAATTTGAAACTCAATTACTTTTTTTAAAAGTAATCGAAATAATTCTTATCTTCTATATACTTATATCTTTCCAATTGCTCTGCTGTCTGCCACAGAAAGCAGGAAGGTCAGAACTCAGTTTGATGTGAGGTTCAGTTTGCCTGTGTGTTTTACTATTTGTTAGCCATGAAAAACCTATTTTTCTCTCTCAATCTCTGCCTCTGTTTTTCTTTTTTCTTTTTTCATTTTATGTACTTGGTACAGGGTCTCACTACGCAGCTCAACTCGTAGTGATCCTCCTTTTTCAGCCCCCCCACCCGCCCCCAGGGCTAGGATCGCAAACATGTACCACTACGCCCAGACTCAGTCACCAGCTCAGTGAGCCTGGGGGTGGGGGCCTGTGCAGCATGTGGTACCAGGGATTTAACCCTGGTCCCTGAGCTTGCCAAAACGGTGCTTAGCCCACTGAGCTATCTCACTGGCCCTGTCTCTCTTTCTTTAAACAAAGATATCAAGTCCTGCTACAGCATGGAGTTGAAAAATGAATTGGTTAAACATGCTGACTTGTAGAGAAAAGCCCTGCTGTTCCTTGATGTGGTATTTCCTGATTCTTTGGGATTTTCTTAAAATCTATTTTTAATTGTCCCTAGAAATCAAATATTACCAATGCTTCTCTTTATTTTATGAAAAAAGAGCCTGTATTTGTAATCACTATACCAAAATACCATAGTAACCACATACTTTTATTAAGCACAAAGCAGGCACAATCTGACTGGCAGCATCTGGCTCTCAACCCTCAGAGGCAGGCTGCCCAGTAATCCTCATTCTTAGACAAAAGCACTGAATGCTGAAGGAAGCCTGCTCTGGGTAACGTGGCTCCTGCAGCACTGCTGGATGGAATTCATCTCTAACTCTACAACCCAACTCACAGCTAGCCCAGCTCTAGACTCCTGGTAGTGCTCACACTTCACCAACAATGCCATGGAGAGGATCTGTGCCTCTCCTGCTGCTGAAGAAGACTCTGCGCACAGGCTCCACGCCCTCCGCCTAGTAGGTCTCCTCCTCTCCCAGACCTTCTGTGGTCACCTGCCCTTGTATAAGCGGGTCTCCCTCCTCTCTCACTTCCATCAGTGCTCCTGTTTGTTTGCTCTCGATCTGTATGTGAACCACACACTGGTTGTTTTACTTTCTAACAATGCGCTGAATCCACTGAATTATCAGTATCACAGGGCAATTTTTACTTGTGTCATTGTATTCACCACCGCTCCTCCAGAGCCTGTCCAAGAGCACATCGTGGCAGAAGCTGAATGAGTATTTATGGGTGCACCAGCAGGCTCATTACAAAACGATGTCAATGACCCATGACTCAGCGGATTCTAGACTTGACGTCAAAGACTGCACAACACTTACCAGTGGCACTTTTACGAGAGTGAGGAAGCCCCCAGATGTCAAACCAGCCAACCCAGTATTCCATAATTAGAATGGGTTTGTTACCCTAGAAAAAATACAATATAAATACAAACTTAACAGAAATAAAGTTCGAAAAATGTGACAACAAATACTTTGAAAATGTCATGTTTCCCTCCGATTTCCAAGCCCAGAGTTTTTGCTCTTTGGACTCTATCTCCTGGTCCTTCCCCTCATCACACCTTCACCACACCCACACATGTGGGCCCACACTGCTGCTCTGCATCCCGGACTACCAGACTGCATGAGACCTACGGTGCATCCCTGGTTTTCTTCAGTAGAAGAATCTGAACCTTCCTTATCCAAGGCTGGCCCTGAGAAAATTGGTTCTGGGTGTAAAAGGCCCCGAGTCTGTTTCCTTAAGTAGAAATTGAGGTCTGGGTGTCACAGCGCTATAATCATAAGCAGGGCTGGGTCTATTAGACACTAAGTCATGCTGCCTAATCCATACGTACACTGCCATTCTCTAGGCCTTTATTTCACTTTAGTTAGCTCACCTGTAGAGGACTGTCTGATGCAATTGTGTTTCTGTTCATTTTTTCCTCTATTTCTAATTGTTATTTTCTTTTTGTTAAGAAACAATTTAGTATGTAAAAACTCATTAATGTTTACACATCTTTATGGTTTTTAATTTCCAGTTCTATGAAACAATTATCACATTAATATTATAAATAATTATCTAATTATGTTATGTTATATTTAAATAGTTATACTTCATTTTCATGTTAAAATAATAATCAACTTTTACTGAGTGCTGGGCACTAAGATATATTAGAAGCAAGTTCTAGTGTTCACAGCAGAGAAGGGAAGGGTGGCTAAACCAAATTTAGTCTGTGAAATAAGTTTCTTCTAAGAAACATACAGTCTGTCCCTACATTACAAAGGAGGAGACTGAGGAAAGGTAGCAGGCCAGCCCTGCTCAGCTGGGAAGTGCCTGAGCTGACTCTCAAACTGACGAAAAATAACAGATGCTGACAGGGATTGAGACAAAGTGGAATTCTAAGACCCTAGTAGTGTGAGTATAACCGAGTATAGCCATTGTGGACACTGGAAGCTCCGAATTGCTTCAGAACACTGTAAATAAAGCCACACATGCTCAGGAATGCCCACAAATGTGTGTGTGTGTGTGTCCAAAGGAAAGGGAATCAACACGTCAGTGACACGAGGGCTTCTCTGCGCAACTCACGGTGGCAGGAATGCAGCGCTGATGAAAGTGCCCACCTCAAGATAGTGAAAAAGGAAACGGTATCAGAATGCGCCAAGTAACATCCTTCAGACATAGAGAAGAACAAAAGCCTGTCATTTGCAGTGAAAGAGATTGGAAGACATTAGATTAAGCAAAATAAAGCCAGTGCTGAAACTAACTATTTGTTCCCGTTCACAGAAAGAAGATAAAAAGATGATAGCACATAAGAAGAGGACCGTGGTCACTGGAGGCCAGCAGTATAGTGACGAGAGGACCGGTGCCAAGGTGCAGTCAGACAGAAGCGGGTTCTAGTGTTCACGGCAGAGAAGGGAGGGATGACCAGACCATCAAGAAGAAGTCACTGTGTAGGAAAGAAAACCTCATTACAAGCACAAATCAGAATGTTGAGAAACTCAGCAAAAAAAGGGGATGCAGATGAATGTCCATTTTGTATCCGTGTATTCAAAGTGGTTAGGATAGATATATAGTTGCATTCTTTTAATGAATAGAGGATTTGTTCTAATGGTGTTTATAAATGGGATATCATGTCTGCATCTTGTACAGCAATTAACCACTAAGAAGAATGTATGCAGTGTCTTAATTATTGAAACTGTCCTAGCGATTTGATTTGAAACTGTCTCATTGCTATTTGTTTCTCAATAAAATTATGAAAAAAAAAAAAGAATGTTGAGAGAAATGGAAACTGGAAATTTTCTGATTTGGTCACTATATTTGCACATTTAAATTATACATTATGCCCCAAACTATGTACAATTACTTTATCTCATTAAAATTGTATATCAAGCTAAGAGCAACTGTCTGAAAAGATAAATAGATCTGATGGACTTCTTACCACATTGACCAAAATTGCATGAATCGCAGAATTATCAGAATCAGGAATGAAAGCAAGACCACCATGACTGGCAGCTAAGACTTAAAATGAATGAAAAGGAGTGATCACAAAGAATTCCATGCCTGTGAATTTTAAAATGCAGATAAAATTGAGCAGAAAGGATAGAATTTATGCGCTCACAAACAGCAATTACCAAAACCTATGAAGAAATAAAGATCATGAATTGTCCTATATCTATTAAAGAAACTAAGTTTGAGGATTAAATTCTTCTAAAAAGAAAAGATCAGGTCTAGATGATTTCACTGACAAAATTTATCAAAATTTAAGTTAAAAATGCTACCAGTAATATACAAACTCTTCCAGAAAACAGAAAAAGAAAGAATACTGCCAAGCTCATTAGATTAAGCCAACATTACTCTAATTTGAAAATTAAATAAAGACATTTCACGGAGGAAAACCAAAGACCAATATCCCTTAGAATTATGAAAGCAGAGCCCAGGGAGATAGCTCAGTAGAATAAGTGCTTGCCTCGCAAGCACAGGGCCCTGAGCTCACTCCTTGGTACTGGAAAAAAAAAAAAAAAAAGAATTATGAAAGCAAGGGGCCAGAGAGATAGCTCAGTAGACCAAGCACTTGCCTGCCAAGCGCAGGGCCCTGAGTTCAATCCCTGGTACCACAAAACAAAACAAACCAAAAAAACCCAAGAGAGATAGAGGCCCGGGATGACAGCTCAGTAGAATAAGCATTTGCCTGGCAAGTGCAAGGGCCTGAGTTTACTCCCCAATTCTGAGAGAGAGAGAGAGAGAGAGAGAGAGAGAGAGAGAGAGAGAGAGAGAGGCGAAACTTCTCAGCACCATCTGAATGAGCAGAACCCAACAATGCACAATACAATCACCACTGTCAAGTGAAATTCATCCCAGAATTTGAAGATTGAATCAACATTCAAAACAACATTAGTGTAGTGAGACTCTGTAGAACCTGTACTAAAAATACAAAAATAAAAAAAAATAACATAAAAAACAAGGACAGATGAGGAAAGCTACATGATCATTGGGTTTGTATGACAACAACACTAAAGCCATGAAACTGTACAAAAGGAACACAGTACTAATTATGCCATCACATGAACAAACTTTAAAATTGTGCTCTTTGAAAAGAACCAAGTGCAAAATAATGGTGGCTATACAATTCCATACATAGGCAAACCTTAGAAACGGTGTGGGGTCCGTTATACCCTGCTGATGTAACATGAGCCTCACATAAACGTGGTCCCACAATTTTTTATTACTCAGTACATACAAGTGACATGTCTACCCTGTGCTGTAGGCTACTAAATGTGCAATAACATGTCTAAGTAATGTGCATGCCTTAGTTAAAGCTCTCCATTGCGGGGGTGAACTGTGGTCCACCACAGCAAACGAAGCAAGCCAGACATGCAAAGCAAAGACCAGCTCCAAAGCTGCTCTCATGAAAGCAGGGAGGGGATAATGGTCGCTAAAGACAAAAGCACACAGGTAAAGAGGATGAGAAGTGAGATAAGGGGCACACACCACAGGGGAGGGACCGGTTCCGAATTCAGTTAGCACATACCTATTGCATAAAACACCTATGACATGCTTCAAAAAAGCAGGAGGATGAAATGCCTCATGTGGTGCAGGCAGGGCTTCCCTCTCACTGTCCACTGAGAAAGCAAGCACACCCTCAGACAGCTTGGAGCCCCACCAAGAAGCAGGCTGCAGACAATCTTCCGGCAATCCTGTGTTGACTGGGCACCATGTGTAGATTATGAAAGTCATGAGAAGAGGACAGAAAAAACACTGCTAGGATATCCCACCTGAACTTGAAGAAGCTGGTGAAAGGAATCCTTCTTAAGTAACCCCAGATTGACAGTGGCCAATGCTGTAGAGAGAAGAGATTGCTGTGTTCAGTGCCAAGGGTCACTGGGGAAGGGATGGAGGCCCAACTCCAACAGGAAGCCCCTCAGGTGTGCTGAGGGCTGAGGACTACCCGGTGCTGCCTGCAGCCCACTTGCAATGCACAGAGGGCCCCGTCACCATCACCATGTTGCTGAGCATATGAAAGGACCCTCATCTTTACTAACGAGGACCAAGAAACTTAACCACCTCTGTGCAGTCAGGGGCCAGGCCAAGCCACCTGACATGACTGGAACTAACAGCTGAATGCAGGTTCTGCGTCCCAGGTTCCGCATTTCAAGATTACACAGTAACGTGGAAAGAACCACTAAAAAGGAGAGGATCTCACTCCAACGTGGTGGCTGCTCTGTGCAGAGCTCCCCAGATGGATGCTCGCTGTCCCGCCATCACTCACTCTCATCACCCCGTGACATGCCCCTAAACACCCAGCTTCTGCGTTCTGAGATCTGGGGTCTACAGTCGCTTATTTATACAGCCAGCTCTGCTTCCCCATGATTGCCCATCCTACACCATGGCCGCCCCCCGACAGATTCCTGGACACAGAAGTCATGGCTCCCGGAAAGAGGCCCTGTGGGTGAGGAGAGCCGTGTAAAGGCGAGGACAAAGGAGGAGATGGCAGTGGAACCCAGGCTTAGCATCGCAGCTCCCCTTGTGAGATGTCCCATCTCCAGGATTATTTCAAGAGAAGAGAGCCAGAAGACATGCTCCTGGCTCCCTCTAAGGCTTGTTCATGGTTTATACTGGCTAAGAGTCTCAGTTCCACCCGAAACAACTCTAGATTTGTACCTCCGCTGACTGAGCCATTCAAAACTGTTTTAAAATCATCGCAGGTGAAGAGCAGCTCCACAATCCCCCTTCTCAGCAGAGCCTGTTGAGGAAATTACACAAATGCACCTACTTCATTGCTCCCGTGGGAAGGAGCTACAAAGAAACTAGACCACAGAGAGAGCTGCATTCAGAAAAAGAGGGTGTGACCTATAGAAGACCTAGACCTTGGCTCCCAAGTGGCCCCTAAAGGCCATGGGTGACACTTGGTGCCCACAGAGGTGGCGGAACTCTCAGGAGATGGGGTCTGAGGTGAACAGTCTGTTATTGGGGCTCTGGTTGCAGGGGCTGTGGTCCTCCGGTTTCATCCTTTTCCTTTTCACACCAGCAACGTGGTGAGAGGTGCTGCTTCTCCTCCGGGCTTTTCTACCTGGTGTGCTTCCTCACCACAGGCATGAAAGCACTGGACCAGTAAACATGGCCGAGCCCCCAAAACTGTGAGTCAGGATGGGGCCTTCCTGCTTACAAGTGGATGACCTCAGGCAACTGTTACTGTGACAGGAAGCAGCTGGACTGAGGAGGAGGCAGATTCGGGGTCTGACCCCTCTGCAAATGCGCAAATGGAGCCACCGCCCCGGCTCCGCCCGGCTATGTCCTGACACTCTAACAGACGACACCCAGCGTGCTTACCTCCTTAACATAGGCCATGTAGTGCTTATCCACATTAAATGACCCATACTCGTTCTCCACCTGCACGGCGATGACGGGGCCACCTTGGTGGTACTGAGAGACAAGCAGAAGTGGATTACAGAGAGAAGACACAGAGCAAGAGGCTAGAGCTGCAGCAGAGTTTGTGGCTGAAGGAAGTGCAAGTGGGTGGCACAGCTGGATCTTAGCTACTCAGAGGCTGGCTCAGGCTCAGAGAGGTCAGCTTCGTTCTCTGAGCGACTTGACATGGCCAGTTGGCAGGTGGTGGCAGAATGAACTCAAACAACCATAAGAAGGTCACTGGGCCCTACCTGAAGAGGAAGCATTTTGGGAATCAGGTGATCGAAATACGCATCCACTGCATCCACAAAGCTCTTTTCTGTGGTTCTCAGTTTGGTCTTTGGGTTCTGCAAGAGCCAGCTGAGAGGAACACCAGAGTGAGGGACAGGAATCAGGAAACAGGAGGAAGGACACATCTGGCCTGCTCACCCATGGTGCTCCAGTCCTGAAGGGACCTGCCCCTGTGAGCTTCACACCATCTACACAGACTGTGGTGTTTAGAAGGAAGCAGGCTACCCTGTTCCCAAGGCATGCAGACCTGAAAGCACTTTCAGCTCCTCAAGGCCCCATAGCCATGTCCTAGAGGGGCAAGAGGCACCATCCTGCAGCCCTGTCCTCCTCTCTATCTCAGCCACTAAGCACGTTGGCTAAGCAGAGCACCTGGACCTCAGGCACAGGTCATATCACCTGTAAGGCCAGACTTCAAGCACAGGACAGGAGATAACAGGCCAGTGACACCCACTGCAGGGCCCCAGTATGGTGGGGCCGGGCCTATGCTCAGATCTCTCCCTCCTCTGAGCAAAGTGCTGGCCTTCTAATGAGAAAGACGGAAGGGAGGATGGGCCAGGGAAGGAGGCTCATCCTCAGTGAGACAGAGGAAGGTCCCCAGTGGTGAGAAGGTGCCCAGGACTTAGAGCCTCCCTGCATGCTGTCCACCTTCCAGCCTTTCATTCTTGCCCCATGGGAAATCAAAGGTGAACACAGCCCTCTCTCCCCAGGGCAAGAGGCTGAGGATGTCCTGTCCTCTGGGCTGAAGGCCCACAATCAGGCCCATGTTTCAACTCCTCTTCTGAGCCACAATAACAGCAGCATATCCCAATCTTGGGACTGAGGCAGCTCCACAGTGGGTTCCTGTGGGGCATGGCCCAGCCACTCTAGAATAGCGGTCAGTCCATGAAGGTAGGTTCATCACCACTGGAGTAGGACAAGACTCAAAAAACTGCATTAACCCAAGACTCAGGACTCACAGCTCAGCTCACCTGGGCAGGCCCCCGAGGTCGATCTCAGCACAGATGTAGGGGCCTGGGCGCAGAATCACCCACAGCCCGATCTCTGCAGCCAGCAGGACAAAGGCCCTGGGAGGGAAACAAGATCAGACATCTCGTGACAGGCCACATGTGAGGCAGCCTCTTGGGGAGGTGGGCACCCACAGGCATCCCAGCATTGGAGGTGCAAGGCTCCTCCTCTCCCATCGGGGGAGACTGTGACGAGCCCCAGCCCTCAGAGCATGGATTTTCTATACCAACTTGCAGCTCAGAGACCATGGAAATAGGCTTACATGGGCTTCCAGTACCAGCACTACACAGGTGGCACCAGGAGAACATGAAGAGAAACAGTGTCAGGGCCGTGCAGCCATCGCAGTGACACTGACCCAGAGGGCAGCCCCCTCCCCAGCCTCACTGAGGGGCCTCCCTGCAAAGTCAGCAGGCTTGTGGGCTTTGGCCTCAGCCCAGCCCTGGGGCACAGAGCACTGCTGGAAGGCATCCCAGCCCTGGTGTCCTCCTCATGCAGCACGGAGGACAAGGCCACACTCTCCAGTCCTCTCTGGGCCTTGAGCTCAGCTGAGGCAGCCCCGTCCCTTCTCATCAGCCTTGGCTGCTCCCTCTCTGCTGCTCTCCCAGTCCAGGTCACAGAGCAGCAACACCACGTACTTCAAGTCCAGGTTTCCAGAAAAGTCAAATTTGCCTCTTTCTGGCTCATGGAGATTCCATGGAATATAGCTGAAAGAAGGAGCAGGAAGTTACAACAGCATCATCTCCCCTTCTTTCTTTCAGTCACTGTCCCGGAAACAAAGCCAAGCCCGACACTGTGGTAGCCCTGTGCTGCAGGGAGTTGAAGTTTACCATGGACATTAAAGCTGTGCCACATGAAAAGTGACTGTCTTCAGAGGCTCCTGCTTCTGTCCGCAGCTCTGGGGACAGAAAATTTTATATTTTCTCACTCACTGCTTCATTCTCAGTTAAATACAAAGAAATAGGGCAGTAGATGTTCACAGAAAAGGAAAACACAATCAAAGTCTATGCAGGTGCCCAGTCATTATCACCAACAATCAGTGAAAACACAAATGGGCATTCTTTCAGGATGAGGGAGAGACACTACGGGGGCGTGGGGGGCACAGCCTTAGCTCGAGGGCAGCAAGGTGGTGCACCCCATCCAGGCCTCAGCATAGGACTGGGAGTCTTCAGGGCCCAGGTCAAGGGCAGAAGTGGACTGGAGGGCATTCTTAGTAGGTAAAGTATTTCCGTGTGTTAGAGGTAAACCTTGGCACATTGTGTACCTAACATCCTGTTTAACTCTGTGGTTTTTATCACACAATTCTGTAAAGTGGAGGTCTGTTGTATGGTGGCTGCACTGACAGTACTTTAAGATCTATTGGTATGAGGAAGAATGAAAAGTTGGTTTGCTAAAACCAATATACACTGCACCATTTACAGCTATAGATTATGAGAAAAGTGAATAAAATGACTCATGAAAATTTGCTGAAAACAAAAATTATCAAAAAAAAATACAGATCAGACAAAATTGCTCCAGCAAACCCATAGAAAGAAAAATGGGTTTTATGGTAAAGTCACAAGTAATGAATGACCTTCAGTGAAAATGAAAGAAATTATCTACACAGAAAACATACTATCATGACTTTCATTGCCCTTAATAACATGGCTTCAAGTCCAAGAGAAGCGGACAGATTAGGGATGCAGAACTCAGTTTCCCCGTCAGAATAGGCTGATTGACGACGCCCTGCTGGGAGACTAACATAATACGTGGCAAAAAATTGTAAGGATGTGGGTTTCACCACCACAGTGAAAGGTGGCGGCTAACGTATATGCTAGGAGCCTAGCAGCGATAGACGGATCTTTCACATTCTTTCTCCGAAATGCATGGGACAAGGGCAGGTGAGAGTGCTCAGCAGACCCTGCCTAGGCACGTGCAGGGACCAAGATTCAGTCCCTGGCACCACATGGCAGGCTGGTACCACCTACGGGCATCCTGAGCTGGCCACCAAGACCAGGCATGGTGGTGCACACCTGTAATCCCAGCATGGGGAGACTGAACATAGGAGGATCACTATGAGTAGGAGCTGCATGGTGAGACCCGGCGCCAAATACATAAAAAAATAAAAATAAAAGTAAAAGCAATGCATGGGACAACCATAAAGTATCTACATGCTCTAAGGAAATCTCAACAAATTTTAATAATCTATATCACTTTGTCTGTGACAACTAAATAATTACAAACTATGAGTAAAAATAAGAAAAACTAAGGTGAGTAGAGTAGAAAGCATGTCCTGTTTGATTCCCAACCTTCCCCTAAAATTTTTAATAATTATTTGTGATTAATTTCTAATGGGTCAAGAATAAAATACAATAAAATTCATGAAATATTTGGCACTAACTGGCTCAAAGGCAGTATAATATAAAGTCTGTGGGAGGCCTCAGCAAACAATGCTGAGATGGTGTGTTTATTTCTCTGAATGAAGGTTCAAAAGCAGAAAGACCTAGGGAAAAATGAGCTAAATGCACAGCTCAGAAGACAGGGAGGGAGGAGGGGGAGGAGGGGAAAAGAGAAGGAAGAGCAGGGACTGGGCTTCCATCCCAGGTGTGCTGTGCTGGCCCTGCCCCAGGGGCGCCCTGAGATGGCAACTGAGACTAGGTGGTGGTGTGCCTGTAATCCCAGCACTTGGCAGGCTGTAAACAGGAGGATCACTATGAGTCCAATCTGTGCAGTGAGATCCTGTAAACCCTGTACTAAATAAATTAGAAAGAAAAAGAAATTGTGAGCTATAAAACCAAATGACACAGGTAATTAAAAAGCTATGAAGTAGCTACTTAAGAAAACTGAACATTAGATAAGATTTAAGCAAGAAAAATGATTGACGGCCCATGTAACAACACAATAAACTTCCAGGTAAATTCTGGTGTGTTCAGGAAAGAAAAACAGCTTTAGAGCCCAGTCAATGCAAGGAAAAAACAGAAAGGAAAAAGTGTATCAGGGGAAGTAGGTTCTATTCAGAAGGGGAGATCGGGACTTCATAACCACTGAGAGTACAAACACCTTCACCTCGAAAATGCAAAAGACAGCAATCACAGAGTTTTAAAAAACATTCAATATAAAGTTAATTATTGTACAAAACATTCTGAGTAAGTAGAAAAATATACTCATTCACTATATAAGCTTTTTATAAGATTGTCATCAAAACTTAAAAAGAACACGAACAAAAATAAAATTTAATATCAATTTCACTTATAAACACAGATGATCATTATTAAAAAAAAAAAAAAAGCTAGCAAACCACTCTACCAATCTATGTGAGTACAGCCTGTGCATTTCACACCTTGAAACACAGTCAATCCCAGAAATGTAAAGTTGGTTGAATATTGGAAGAACTGCCAGTTCTTCACCACTTCAGAAGAATTGAAAGAAATGATGGAACCCTCATGGTGGACAAACCAGCAGCCCTCAGCAAAGCTCAGTGCCTATGGGGAGGGCTGGAGCTCAGTGGCAGTGGCACAGAGCCTTGTGGCCGTGAGGCCATTGGTTTGATTCTCAGCTTTCCCTAAAAAATAAAACTCAGACATATTCCTAATTAAATCTTTCGCACACGAGATGAGCCACTTTCGATTATGCCTCTCAGCTTCAAATGCTCCTGCAGCAGTCCCGGGGCCTCAGGACTTCTTTCTTATAGTGAGCAATAGTGCCCACTATAGTTTCTACCACCAGAGACAGTGAGCATGCACAGAAGAAAGGCCTAGGATTCCCCAGCACTCCCCATGTCTGTGGTCCAGCACGATGCTGCGAGTGGTCCAGATGTGTGAGGACAAATCTTGTGCGTCCTTTTTTTTTAAAAAAAAAAAAAAAAAAAGCAAAATAGCACAAGTATAACCCCAAATAGCCAGTAAAGAATTAACCCAGGAGACACTCTGGAGTTAAACATTTGAGCAGTTTAAAGTAAATAGTATAGAGACACAAAACATTGTGTTATGTGCCCCCAGCATTTTGCTAATGTTTTTCTGTTCCTTCTCTTTTTAACTAGTAAGACTCCACAGTTGGACCATGAACAAGGATCTTTCCAACCACTGCTGACAAGCAAAATCATCAGGCAGGCTGGGGATGGAGCCCCACGATCCAGTACTTTCTTAGTGTGCACAAGGCCCGAGGTTTGGTCACCAGCATCAGATACATATTCTACATGCTAAAATATTCGGGCAAAGGACATTCCAACTGCAATGAGCACTATGAACAGCTGTGAATGTAACCCTTGGTCCCCACCAAAGTCTGCAGGTAGGCAGGCAGCAAGCGGTGTGCCGCTGGCCCTGAGCCTGAGTGGGAGGAGCCACAGCTCCACTGTGCCGACCTAGGCCTTTATCACTGGGCGGCTTTGGGAAAGTGACTCAGCTCTTGGCCAAGCTTCTCATCTGCAAAACAGAACAGCACGACTCGGCACCAGGAGCATCCTGGAGGGAGCAGAAACACACTGCGTTCGTGACCAGAAGGCCAGGCTGCACAGGAGCACTGCGCTGTGCTTCTCGAATAACCGCGGTCCATCTGCTCACTTAAGCAGCGCTATTCAGAACCCAGTAGCTCGACCTCTGGCTGTGGCAGAGCCACCATCTGAGGTCTCTTCCCTGCTCGGCCGGAACTTTAGGAGCAGCAGCACCTCCAAGTGAACACTCATGTTCTCCTCGTGCCGCGTCCCTAGTGCAGCATTCTGCAAGTGTCTCCTGCACTCACTCTGCAGTCCGCCCTGACCGACCTCTCCTACTTAGACTCCAGATCTCATGGAAATGGGGCTGTTTTTGAAGGGAACTCTGCTGCTCCTAAGTCAGTAAGATTTTCATCTGGTTGTGGTTGCTGTTTGACAAGCCCTGTGCACGCGGCAGGAGCCCTCCTTGCACGTGTGGTTTCAGGGAAACGGTACGTCCAGAGCTTGGGGTCTCAGTCCATGGCACACAGAGGAAGGGCTCCATCCCTGGGCGCTAGTGGGTTCTGCGCCCACGCTGCCCACGCAGCACTGTGGGCCCATGAGCCGTGTGCTCTAAGTAGCTGAGCCCTGAGTGCTGGGCTTCTCCCTGTCACAGCACAGCCCTGGCCCCCAGGGTCTGAGACATGCTGAGGACATACCTGGTTCTCCGAGTGTGCTAGTGATGCTGCCTTTGCCAGTCCCTACCTAACTATGATGACTCGTGCTCTTTCCTATCTAAACCCTTCTCACTAAGGCAAATTTGCGTTGCCATTGGCCACTACTGTTGAAGACATGTTCCAGCCAGGCCTTGTGATAGATAAATAACAGAGATTTTAGGTCATTCAATCACTAAGCCAACTCTATGAGCTGGGCACCCAGCCCTAGCCTGGATGTGAAGTTGGAGACAGAGGTGGGCACAAAACCAGGTACTATGTGACTGCATCGCTAGGTCTCAAGCCTTGCTGAGCTGTGCTTCCCAGGTTCAGTCCTGTGAGTCCTTTCTATTGAGTAGCACTGGTGTGTCCTTCGGTGTTTGTTTCTCTACCAGGTCATCCCCTGCACTTCTCCATGCACATGCACAGAAGCTGTCGTTCAGATGTGTGTGTGATATACTTGTTTGCAAGCAGGACTTGAGCAAGGCCTCGGGGTGGATGCATCCAGGCCTGGCCTCTGCTGGGGCTGGGCAGTCCCCCACCGTGTGTCCTCTCTCCTCCTCATCTCCAGAGCCAACACCCTCACCACACACTCCTAGGAAGTCACTCTTCCTTTTGCATTCGTTCCACCCAGGCCTCACCAAGCTCCAAGCAACTGAGCCTGGTTGGAAGTCAGGTGGACGCTGAGGCACAAGTGTGCACACTGAGCTGGTCTTCGAGAGCCTCCGCTCTGCCCTCAGGCATGAGATTGATGGGCTCTGGGTAAGGCCGCCCAGGGCCCTGTGTGAAGGGAGGCCTTGGGGTGAGGCCAGCACTCACGTGGAGACAGTGTTGAAGCCACAGGCCTTCAGCTTCAGCAGGCGGTCCCTCCAGTACTCTCTGGGCACCCGGAAGTAGTGGATGGAGCCCCCAAAGATCAGGAACTTGTACCCCTCCAGGCTGAAGTATGCTTTGCCCTCTGTGGTGCTACCAATGTGGAGGCCCAGAGATCTGTGCTGCAGCCTGGCAGGGGTCAGGTGGAGCCAGTTAAACCTAGAGGAGAGAAGGAGAGAGGATACAGAGTGGGGGAACTGCCAGGCCCCAGCAGAAGCCAGGCCTGTAGATACGACGTGCCCACAAACATAGTCACCCACACAGTGCTTTGTCCAAGGATAGAAACAGCCACCTCCCCACAGGCAAACCTGGGCAGAGGCACATCCACCTTTCCAAATGTAAAAGTCGCTCTGGTCCCATTGTGCAGGGTAAGATCAGGAAAGATGACTGCCAGGAAAAGCACACCCAGTATCCGCTTCCAGGACAGATGCAGGCTGCAAGGAGCCAGAGCTGGTGGTGAGGTGAGGACCAGCTATTCATGCTCTACAACCTGAGAGAATTCAGAGCCCTGGAGCTCTGTCACAATCAGGTTTCCTTCTGGGGTAGCCTGCCACCCCACTGAGTCCTTCCAGGTCCCACACTGCCTTCCCCTGTGACAGGACGGGCCTGGTTCTGGGGGAAGGTCGAAGACAGCTGGGCAGTCCTCCAAGGGCAGGAGATGCCCACATCCAGGTTTGTTGTGGGGCTCACTGTGCAGCTCGGGAGCAAATGAGGGCAGTGGCGGGAGCCGCAGAGATGGGAGAGTGGAGGCAGGAGGCGAGACTGAGGAGAGACTCCTGCAGTTTGAGGGCCAGAGGCACCTGGGCCTGCGTGTCCCCAGGACCTACACCATATGCCTGTACACGACCAACTGAGCAAGAGGCGCTAGGGAAGACCTAGGAGACTCCCTGTGAATGACGCCAGGTGATGGGGAAGAATGGCTAAGGAAACACAGATCTCAGACTGCAGTAGGGTTGATCAGGGCTGAGGGTCACCTGGGGTGGGTCCTGCTTCCCATGGCCTCGGCGAGCGGATGTCCCATGCAGCTGTGGAGCTCGGGCAGTGGAGGACGCTGCGCTACGAACCACTGAGGCTCAGGCACCCAGGCCCAGGTCTCCTCTCCTGGATACTGTGGCAAGGCCCAACATGGGTACAGGGTCTCGGCCCTGACCTGTGGGGACACCTTCTTCTCCCACAGAGCTCACCTGGTTTAAGGCCTGAGCTCAGGTCCTGGGGAGGCTGATGGCTCTGACCCCAGCATAGTGGAGCCTGAGCCCAGAGTGTGCACCGAAAGTCTTGACGCACTGCTTTCTAGCCCCAGGAAGAAGAACGGGACGATCCTGCTTATTTCCTGGCCGTGGGTTTGCTCAGCTAAGTGCCACAGCCATCTGGCACAGAGCAGCGGGATCCGTGGGAGGAAGAAGGCGAGACATGAGCACGGTGTGCCTGAGACCCGAGAGTCTGGATCCACTTCTCATTAGGTTCCAGAAGCTGCGCTTCAGGCCAGTAATGAGGCGGGGAACCATTGCATAGTTTCAAAAGGAAGAGCAAATGCTAAAGTAAATTTGCACGGAGTGCCACAGACATGCAGCTGGCCTTGACCTGTGGTTCGCTCGGGAGGACCGGCCACACCTGCACACGGTGGTGCGCAGACGGACGCTCCCACCAGCAGGGGGCAGTCTTCGCTGTCTGCACCTCTGCGGTCCTCGTCTTTCTCCTCGTAGCCGGTCTAACTATCATGAAGTTACATATATTTGCGGTTTCGATTTATTTTTTTAATTTTATTTTTTATTCATTTTAATGAGAAAAAAGATAAAATAGCAATGAGACCATTTCAAAACAGGTTAGTAGGACAGTTATAATAAACACATTGCATATTGTTGTCTTCATAGTATTCAATTCAGAGGACAAGATCCAGACATATCTTTGTCTAAACAATATTAGTACAAACATTTCTTCCCAATAAACTAAGAGAAAGTAGCTGTATATCTATCCTATCATATTTTTTTCAACAAAACAGTCCTTCATTTATACTTTTGCCAAGTTAGTAACTCGTGACACAAGGTTGCCTAGCGACGAATAGCTGACCTTAACCACACGAAACGTTTCTCTCCAGACTGAGGTAGCTTGTTTGCTCTAGGCGCTGAGGCCTAGTCCCACCTGCATACACTTGATCCGTTTCCTAGCTTCATGGCTTCCAACATATCCCCTTTTTTGTTTTGTTTTGTCAGAGATGGGTGTTCCATTGCAGTTAGAGAAGCAGTATTTGGAGAAGTCTTTAGGGGACCTTTTCATAATTGAAGCCTTGAAGGTACAACCCGCTATAGTCTAATAGTCCATAAAAGTAGTGAGTTGTCAGTGCAACTGACAATTATCAGAAGTTGACTTGAGCCTGTTACAGCTCAGCATATTAATATGGCATTACTTTTTATATCTTGTGGTTACACTTTTCTGCTGGATGGTTAAGACCTAGTTGAGGACCTGTATAGCTAAAAATGTAACTTTTGCTATCTGACAAGGTCAGTCAAATCCCCTCAGGATTTACCCTGGAATCTGGATAGCACCTTGTAGATCTTCTGTCAGTGTCAGCCATCTGGATGAGTCACGGTCATTGCTTGACCAATTTGCTCTCTGTGAAAACCTGAGAGATATTTTTTCTCTCTAGGTGACTCTCCTTAGGCACACCCTACATCGCCGATCACTTTCCTCTGTGGCCCCATATTCTCCTTGATCAGAAAATTTGGGACACCACTGGGTTACAGAGTGTCACAGAAGAGGTTCTCTTATGTCCTGAGTCCTCGCTGACCTGGAAGGGCTGGGGCCACAATGTTGGCTGTCCTTTCAGCCCATCTATCACTCTCATTTTTGGTCTGTAAACTTTAGTTTTTAAAGATCCAGAAGAGAAGCTTAACAATCTTATTACCCTGTAACAGAGGCAGTAAAGCTTAACATAACTGTCTGAGTATCAAATGCTTTGACATAAAATGGAACTGCTATTTTCCATCAACCATGGATATTCTAAAATTTAAATCCCTACAGAATGTAAGAGAACAATTACATATTTTTACACAGAAATTTAGAAATCAATCCATATACAACATTGTAACAGGACAATCTTATATTTTTTTCTTCTCCTGTTTTCTTTCATTACCTTTTTTTTACAAACATTTAAAGAGAGTATAGCAATAATTGATATGACATTAGGAGCACACACTTAGAAGACCAAAATGACAGGTATTTTAAGCGTGATTTTAGTTGTGGTTTTGATTTACACTACCCTGATGATCAGCCTTGGGTATTTTCATATACTTGGTGATTTGTTTGTCTCTGAGAAATGTCTGTTTAAGTCTATTAGGTCATCTTATGTGTGTATTTATTTATTTAGTTAGTTTTTAATTGGGGTCTTACGATGCAGCCCAGTTTGGCCTTGAACACACAGCAGTCCTCCTGCCTCAGCCTCCTGAGTTAAGGGACTGCTGGCACGCACTGTCGTGGCCTCCCGAGTGCAGGGACTGCTTGCACGCACCGTCATGCCCTGTGCCTATTGCTATTTTAAAATCAGAATATTTGCATCTCATTTCCGAGCACTCACACTCCACTCTTGTGTGTATCCTAAATTCTCTGCCTAATAAACCCTTCCCATGCCGCCTGCTGACATGCCTTGCAGGTTCCTTCTCCTCAGCGGGTCAGTGGCCCTCCAGGCATCCTACACGTAGGGCGGGTTGTCTACCACCTCATCTGGCCTCTCCAAGCCAGCCAGGTGGCCTCTGCTTCTGGCAAGTCAGCCGGGGGAAGAAGAGGCAGCGAGCAAGCACTGACCTCGGTGGGTCCAGGCACAGGAGGCTCGCTCCTCCTCACTTGCTCAGCTCTTACTCTCCAAAGCATCATCCATCTCTTTTTACCTCCTTTTTCTCTCTCCCTGTGTACAAACCTCTACATCCTTAGGTTGTTTCTTTTCAGGAGTTGTGTGCTTGTGCATGAAAGACCGAAGACAAGAGCACTGGCTCCCACTACTCAGAAAGGGGAGAAGGGCTCATGGTGTCTGTGGCCTCCTGGGCCTCGTGGTCAGGTCAGCCTACCTCATTCTGTGGTCAGATGGAGCTTGAGTTTGTTCACCAGGGAGGAACAAGTAAGCAACTTTGGGACTGTTTTTCTTTTCTGCTTTTGAATTTTGAGTTCCTTGTATATTCTGAATATTAATCTCTTGTCCTATGCATAAGCATTTCTGCAAGCGTTTCCCCCCATTCTTTACATTGTCTCTTTACGCTGCTGTTCGTTTTGCTGTGAAGAAGCTTTTTAATCATTTATTCATTTATTTGGTTATTTATTAGGTACAGGGTCTCACTACACAGTTCAGACTCACAGTGGTCCTCCTGTCCCGGCCTTCCCAGGGCTGGGATTACAAGTGCGCACCACCATGCCCAGTTTTGGTGGCTGGCATGGCATGCCCTGTTTTCCAGGACCACATGGCATGCAGTATCAGGGATTGAACCCAAATCCTTGTGCTTGTCCAGCAGGGGCTTATCTCTCTGGTCCACAAAAGTCACTTAATTTGTTGTAATTTCATTTGTCTAATTTTACCTTTGTTTTGTGAGCTTTGGGGTTAATATACTATTTTCACCTGGTGTTTATTTTATCTCTTGAAAAATACCATGCCACTTCCTTCTGGCCTATGTATAATATGTTTACAGCCAGAAAAAGAAGTAACATAAAAAGAACACAAATAAGGTACAGAGGAAGCCAGTTGGTTATCCTTTTAAAGGAGCTTTAAATAATTGGCCCTTTGTGATTGGCTAAGATTCAGCTAGCTGTTTCCCCTCCCCAGAAAAAAGGAAAACGTTATTCTTTATGTATCAACGTAGGCTGCAATTCAAGTAGGCTGCAATTCAGCATATACAAAGATACCTTGAGGCCAAACTTAAAAACTTATACAGAGATTTCTTCAAGCAAATTTAATTCAATGAAACAACTCCCCATTGATTTGGCCAAAGATTTGAGCTCTAATATGATGCTCTATCATTATCATTAATGACCTTATTTGACTTCAAATCCTGCCACAAATAGCAACTCAGTGGTTTTGTAAAAAGGAAATAGAGTAGGAAAAAAATCCGGTTAGTTCTTGGCAGGTTACTTCAGGCTACTTTGGGGGAAAGGGAAGGGTAAGGGTTAAAACAAAGATGATTTCTTTCTTGTGCTGATTCAGGTAGCTTGGAATATTTGCTGAGGGGGCAGGGGAGATGGTTTGGGGATCTACTTTCTTAAATTTTGGTTTACATTAGTAACAGTATAACCAACTCCATTTTGGTTTGGTCTAGTCTTTGCAAGAATTCAATCTGAAACAATGCCCATGGCCTTTCTTGATTTTAACCTTTTCGGTGGGACCCCCTCCTCCACGACAGTATGATCACAGTGTGGGGCATTCACTTCACTCTCAGTGACCATCATTTTGAGATTCCGGTCTCAACACATTACTAGAGCTTACAGTATCATCACAACCATATTCTACTTTTTGTATGAAGTTTTTTATGTTTTTGTCATTCCAATTGGAGAGAGACCATTTGACACTCCACAAAGACTCAATACAAATATTTAATATTTCTGAGAGACCACTGCACAGTGGGGAGACTACTATTATGACTATTGCAAGAATTAATACCAGAGTCTGGAGTATACTTTAGGTCATCATGAACCAAATTAGCTGGAGTGAACTAAGCTAAAAGAAGATCCAGAGAAAGAGAGTCCACTGGTTTCAACCAAGAAGGCTGCTCCTGGATTTTTCACAACTGCATCTTTCTAATACGCAGTGTATTGACCCTTCAAGTGCATGAAACGTTGTCAGCACCCAAGTCAAAT